CTTCCTCGGCACATGACCCCCTGCCCCCTGAACCCTTTCTCCCATCCCCACCATGACACGCCCCCCGCCTTGAGTCCATTTTGGGTGAAATTGTTGGTGAAATATGGCTGAGAGTTGCAATTCTGGTTAATGATATACGAAGCACTTTGGGAGGGTGGATATGAAAGTATTAACTATAACATTTAAAGATCTCCTTCGTTTGCAGTGCAAACAACATAAGATAACACGAACTACCATATCTTATACAATTTTTTTGAGAAAAATCAATGGACTCCGTATAAACAGTTAAATTTGATCGTATAAAATTGAAATTGTAATCTTAAGAAATTTAGAATTTTTGAAGGCCCTGTTTAACACATCTTTATATTCTCCTGATTACTTAATAACTTACTGTCAAATGCTGCAACAAAAGTTCTGAAAACTTTTGCTTATTGTTCGCGTACCTTTTTCCGTTGCTAATTGGAATCAAAGAGTGATTTTTCCCCATTGGCTTAATTTTCTTCCTAGATATCTTTTTCCAAAAGATTTAAGTCTGGGCTTTCCGAAATCCATCATGAAACCCCAACGGAATTGCCTTAATTCCGAGTAGGCAAGTCTACGGGTAGTTAAATGGCCTTATCAAGTATTTTTCCTTTTATTTGGGGAACAGAACTCCGAATCCTTTGAGTGCCAGCCCAGGAATATCATCCTTACTGTTGGCGATAAGCCGTTTCTTTTTTTTTTACTTCGTATTTTGTATTATTTTTGTATTATTTTTTCAAGGGAGCGGATAGTCGGGTGCATTTGGTGGTTTACATTTGATTGTGATATGCACACAAAAGCGGATTATTCTTGACTCTTTAGCAGCATCATTTATGACATGCAACAATAACAGTGGGAAAAGCAGGCCAGGAAAATGGGTGGAGGTGGAAAGCGGTGGTGGAGTGCAGCAAATGCAATTTCGGTTAGTGGCCACAATTTTGTTTAGAATTTTTGGTCGCAACATTTTGTATTGTCTCGCATTCTGTTTCACGCTCCCGTGCATTGTAGTTACATTATACTTACATATTTGTGCGATTCCATTCTGCCCATTCTCCCCCCACAAAAAAAAAATAAAATAAAATTAAAAAAAAACAAACATAAACATAAAACATAAAAAAAATGGAATTATGAAATTGCAACCGCAAAAGCTGCTTAAGTTATTAGTTATTGTTATCAATAATATATACAACTAACTAACCATCGATATAGCCAGCTTGTGTGCGCACACTTTCATTACTGCACATTTGTGTTGAATAAATTGATTTGTTTTTCCATCCTACATAATCGAGCCGCGTATTTCCGTTGATAAAAATGATATTGCATTTTAATTGCGAAACGAAATCAAATTTCGTGCCATAATTAATTGGCAAATGTGCGTAAATTGTTTAGGTGTTTAGGTGTTTAGGGATTTCTTGCCATTGATCGTTACGCTTTTAAATTGGCATACCCATACTATTGGCGAAATGAGGTCAAATGTGTGCCAATTAGCAACAAATTAATTACTTTTAGATATGACTCAAATTAATCAATTAAATTATTTTGTTATCAAGTGCATAAAAAACAAATATTTTTCTTCCAATACAACTTTTTGTTTTAATGCTTATAACCTCGTGCAGCTAAAATTTTTATAGTTAAATACCTAATTTAACATTAGTACATTGAAAGTAATAAATACAAATGATTTAAAAAAGTTTAATTTCCTTGCAATACAGTTTACCAGCACTAATTGCTAAAAAATACATATTGTTTAATTCTTTCAATCAGCTTAAATTGATTGATCTTATATTATAAGTAGGTAGAGCTTCAACCTAAGCTTTTTAGCAGGCTTAAGATAGATTAAAACCCCAAAACTTAATACGTAATTAAAGTATAGTTGTGGTCCCTATAAATCCTTGGGAGTTTAAGTGGCTGTTGCAAATCTTAGGCTCAGGTGTGAACGAGGCGGATAAGGTAACTGGATATATAGTGTCGGAAGTAGGGGCAAAATGGGTCCCAGTCGGAGGGGAAATGGTAAATGGGAGACTGAAAGTAGACATAGATCCAACAGGCGACGTCGGCACTTTTGGTCCACTTGCCCGGCAATTGGACCATTTCGTTGGCCGCTTCACAGCGCTCAAATTGCCTTGGGCTTGGGTTTGAGTTTGGGTTTGGACATGGGCATGGGATTCAGATTGGGATTGGTGCTCCAAGGGGGCCAAAGGAGGTAGAGGTGGTAGAGATCCCAGCTGTGCTGCCAGCCGACTGCCAACGACATTTAGCCCACTTTTTACGCAGCTGCGGGCTCACCAGGAATCAGACAACGGGATTGCCACCGCATCCTACGTCCCCCTCTTGTGACCCCTACTTTATGTACCCCTTTTCATGCACTCACCAAATCTGTTGCTCACAACATCAATTTAAACTTAAGAACTCAATGTGTCTTGTGTATTAATAAACGTATAGCTCAGTCGACTCTCAAAAATAAATAGAAAATTTAAATGATAAATCTATTTTACCAAGACCAAAAATAGACGCTCAGTCAAAAAACATCGAATCTAACAACACCTTTCATTCACCGATAAACATTGTTGTTTACCCATTTTCGCAGTTTTTATTTTATTTTTTTACCTATTTTCCATAAATGATTCGTAAACACTAAAGTCCAGATTTAAATGCCAATTGATTCGGAATTTTAGTACGAGCTCAGCGAAATATGATATTTCACTATTTCCATTGTTAAGGGTACTTTACTGATATTTTTGGCCGATAAATTGGAATACATTTTTATCTGAAGGCTTAAAAACATTTGAAAAATAATTCGGAATGCTGTGACAAATGGAACATAGTTATTAGGCATTTAACTGTAGAGAAAATGGATTTAAAATACTTTTGTAATTTAAGCAACTATCAAAAGTTTTTTTGCAGTGGTGTCCCATTTTGTTGGTAAATTTTTATTGGTTGTGTGCTAAAGGCTATAGTCTCCCGTAGTTCGAACGTTCAAGTAGTCAGTCAAACTGGGATTCGGTTGCGGCTTTTTGGGGTCACCTCGCCCAGTTGCACTTCAATGCAGCCCGGCGATGGCCGCTTTTGCCGCTGTCCGTTCAAGGGGCAGATAATGCTAATTAATTGAATTGATTAGCTCATTATATCATTAGCTGGCAGCGGCCAACTTGCCCCGGGTGCCGTTTCAATGTGCCGTGCGAAGACAATAAGTTCCGACCACGAGACCACGGCAACAATGCAGATCCTGATGTGCGTATCCTGCCCAGAATGCAGATCCTTGTATGTTGTGTGTGTGTGTGTGTGTGTGTGTGTGTGTGTGTGTGTGTGTGTGTGTGTGTGTGTATGCGTGTGCTTGTGTATGTATTTGTGCTGCCTGAGGCCGCACATTCATATAAATAAACTTGTCTAAATTGCAGTTACCGCCCCAGGGCCATGGCCAAAATTTGTGTGCAACACCGAAAACTTAATCGGATGGGGGGCATGAATATTTCGGTGGCATGGCGAAAATCTTCGGGGCAAGTTGTGTGTCCATGAGCTTTGTTCTCGGTTCTCGGAACCAAGTAAAATCCAGTACAGTTGTACAAGGATTAAATGACCTACAGAAATGACCTTTTCGCCGGGTAGCATACCAAATGGGATCAGTGCGCCACTAAGCTTTAACTGCAACTGGAATTTATTACATTTATTTACATTTAAAAGTGTATATTAGTTATTAGTTATATTTTATACTTATTCAAGAACATTTTTGAAAAAACTCAATAAACCATGATTTTTGACAGAGATAGCTAAGTTTTAAGATACTCATTAAATGAAATCACCTAAGCATTTCTGGAGACACTTTTTTGTCATGTTAAAATGAATATCCTTAATACCCAAAATTAAATACCATCAATAAAATTGCCTAAAAAATGATCAAATTTAAAGATGTGCTCAGCTCATATGTTGTTTGAAAAATTAACTAAAATATATATATATATAGGATTAGGATTAGGATTACCTACCTAAAAGCTCATTATTTAGGTTGCTTTTCTTTTTTAAAGGTTCTTTAGAAATAAGATATATAATATTCCAGTGTAGTGAACCCTCAACCTGAGCCACCTGTACACTATATATTCTTACTTCATTCATTAGATCCTAGCTCGGATTCAAGTGATTTCTTTTTAGTTTCTTGGCTGCCTTTCTGACTCTGTTGGGTTTGTCAGGTGTTCGTCGCCCGCTCCTTTGGCGTGGCCATAAAGTTTTGGCCAACTTTTTGGGAACAAGCTGCATCGTCCTGCCACGTCCTTCGTCCTTCGTAGTTTTTCCCACGTCTTTCGTCTGTCGTCCCGATGTCGTCGGCAGCATCGTTAAGGCGTATCCATCATAATATCTATCAGGCGGCTAGGGGTATACGGTATACGGGCTCATCCGAATAATTCATTTATATTAATACATCCTGCAGAGCAACAGTCAAACTCACTGCGAAAGAGATGGCGATAGATATAGAAGAAGCTAAAGAAGAAGTATTTCAATTTGTATTGCCAAGTGTCTGGCTCTATCTGTCTCTTTCTAAATATATCCACCCGTCCCTCTCCCTCGCACTGCCTGCAGTTGCAGTGCTCGACTTTGCCTCGTCGACAGCTTAAAGTTTGAATTGCTGCACACGGAGTCACTAATGCAGTGAGACAAATTTTGGGGAAAAATTAAAAATCATCGGACTCTTTTATCTTTAAATTTCGGAATTAATTCACAACTTAATGATTGCTTTATTAAAAAAAACTTTGACAAGTGCTTTAAATTAAATTATTTTTAAATATACCATTTTTATAATTTTGTCCCACTTATAAAACAATTTATATCAAAAGTGGCCTCAAAGCGGCTGACTTTAAAACTTAAAGATTAATAAATATATAATATATTATAGCAGGTAAAATGATTTCGATATATTTTTGCAGTGCCTTTTAGCCTGGACAACCTGGACGAAGGTTGGAAGTGGGGTGCAGATGGGTGGCTTAAAAATGGGGCCGTCAAAGAAGGAGGAGGATTACAGGATGCAGGACGCCACCTTTTGCAGCTGCTTCCATGTGTTCATGGCGCAAATAATCGCCGTCATCAACAACAACAAAAACAAGATGGCAGGACAGGATCAGGACGACAGGATTGGGGGGAGGGGGTTCCAAAGATGAGTTGAGAGACGTTGACGCTGACGCCATTAGCACCGAGTTTTGCAGCATCAACGACAAACTTTAAATTGTTGCGTCATTACAATTCGAGTTGGCCTGCCTGGCAGAGGGGGACTTTTGCGGGTACCAACTGAAATGTTGAGCAACAGGAAGCCAGGATATATATTCTGGGCCTAGCCAAGGCATAAATGCTCCTTGCCGAAAGGCGAGAAAAGAAGAAGTCTTGTCCCCGTTTGCACCAGTGATTGATGTTGCACTTTAAATTTCAGTTGTGTCAGTCGGATGCACACACACATGCTCCCTAATGACCAGGTGCCACAAATGGTTGCATTCAAAAAAAAAAAAAAAATACAAAATGTATAACACTCCCCTAAGACGTTAACTTATATTTTCTTCAAGTCGCCGAGAACTTCATTTTCACTATATGTATACATGCTTCCAATGTTAAGTTTTATTGCTTCTTTTTAACTATTTCACATTTACTATTTCATCTTAATGTCCCTACACATAATTATTTTATTTTCAGAAATTTTTTGACAAGCTTTATAATAATTATTATTCATTTTCATAAGCCAATTTTTATAACAGATCTATGTGTAAAATCTATTATTAAACAAATAACCAAATGTAGTAGTATTTCATTTCTACAATCATTTTTTACGCTAAATATAATAAAAAATTAAATATTAATTGTTACAAAAACACTCAAGATCAAAAATATTTAAAGAGCGTGTAAAATAAATTAATTCAACATATGCCAATCTGCAAGAATGAAATGCCATGACAACATAATAAATTATTTGAAAATAAAAGGGAACACGTCTAACTTTAAGCTGAAGTAATATATTTTGTCTTGGCCACATTTTAAATAAAACCATCTCTTGTTGGTAATAAAAAAACGCCATACATTTTTATAGTTCCAAGTATATATATATATATGTCCGATCTGTCTTGCTTCTGCCCTGTGCCTTTGTAATCATTTAAATGAACAAATTATAAATTACCCCAATAATGGGTTCGGGAGCAGGACAAGGAAACTGGCCAGGATACGGAGACAGGAGTCAGCAGTCAGGAGTCACGTCCAGGCACACATATACATTATATGTGCATGTACTCATATATGCTGATATATACAAATATACATGATGGTATGTGCGCCATATATTATATATTGCGGCGATTGCATCGCAACGACAATTTTGGCTCATTATAAATTTGCCTTAATTTTAATGCAAAATGTCTCTGCCGCAGTCCGTCCGTCTGTCCATCTGTCCGTCTCTTTCTGCATGTATATAGCCATCTCTTTCGGCATGTGTCTGGCACAGTGCCTTACATTTAATGCAACCAAACTCCAGCTGGCACCGGACTGCGATTTCTGAGTCGGCACTGGAAACTGGGAACTGAGTTCTGAATACTGAGAACTCCAACTGAACTCCTCGCCACGAATTGCATTCAACTGCGCCTGCAGACCGAGTCATCCATCTACCCCTCTCTTTCGCCCCCAGGATCTGCCTTCTCTTTCTTTCGCTGTAGGTAATCATGTTGCTGACAGCATTGTTGCCGCACAAGTCCACTGTTCATGATACCCTGGAAAAATGTTAAGTAAATGCTAAACAGACTGATATATTTGAAATATGTTTTACTAGTATTATGAAAATAACCTAAAAAAAACGTTGTAGATTTTTCATATATATTAGTGGGATTTAAAACTAAGCTACCCCATATTTGTTCATAAAACTATATCAACAATTTTTTATTTTTATCTATATTGATAAGCTACCATAGGAATAAAAATGTCATTAAATATTTAACTAAAATGGTTTAATAAAATTATCTATAACAAATATTTAGTTTTACTATCTATTCTTATATATATTAAACTAAGAAGCAGAGACTATTATTCAATCCTTGAATAACTAACATTTTGCTGGGTATTTACAGTTTCGTATTGCCCAAAAATATTCTCCACTTTGTATGTTAAATTGTTGCACGACAATGAGCAAGCTGCCGCCAAAAAAACAAGGAACAAAGATGGGGAGAAGAAAAGAAAAGCCAGCAAAATGCACATGCCACGTAGTTATGCATATGTCGTTGTCCCAGGAGTCCCGAACCCCCGGACCCCGTAATCCCGCCCCCCAAGACCTTCGCCACCGTACGTGTGTTCCAGGCAATTCACAAATTGAACGTACGAAATCACATTAGCCCCAACGTCAGCCTCAGCCCTCAGCTCCAGATCCTGTCTGTCCTTTCAGCATCTTCGCTTGTTGCAGCGGCTCCTTGGGGAAAATACCCTATACCCAAATATTGCCAGACTCAGAGCCCGAAACCTTAAACGGCACAGTACACTTTAAATATATTCAAAAGTGTTCATTTCAAAATATTACCATAAGCCATAACTACTTTACAGTAAGTGCTGTACAGTAAAATGTTGGCCAATTGAAAACTATCGAACATTTCACAACATTATATTTATCGATAAGTACGAGTTGCACGCATTCGTAGATATCGATTATTTTGCTGTTCTCAACAAATGAGAAGTTTCAAAATGAAGGTATGTAGATAGAGCACACATTTGCTCATCGATTGTTTTGTCTCTTTAAGTTCATAGAACAAATTGGTTTATTTAAGGAACTGAAAATACAATAGTAAGATTTTTAAATTTACAAATTTGTCAAGATTTAATGAAACCATTTATTTTTGGCGTGTACCGGGATTATTTTGGCCGAACACGTACGGAGCCGCTGGCATTGGCCAATTGGCCTGGTCTGGGTCCTTCTTGGTCATGCACCCCTTTATATATTCTATATGCCCCTCTGCCGTGACGACGTGCTGCAGCAGAAGTTTTCCTTGTCTATTGATTTGAATTTGAATTTTTCGCCTAATTGCAAAAAGTGAGCACAAAGTGAAACAAGCGAGAGAAGTGATGGAAGGGAGAAGAATTGAGGAGTTCGTGGGGATGTTGCAACTACTGAAATGTAAACATTTTACTTTATACACTTTGGGAGTTAAATTTTTGATTTTTGGTCTAACCGAAAACTTAAAAGTTTTATTATGCCATTGTTCCTGTACTTTTGTCCATCCAATTCTCCATATGGACACTTTTTCACTCACTTTTCTTGCCGCAGGAAATGCTTACTCAATGCATGAAATAAAAACACATAAAGTTCAATATTAATTGATTAAAAAACAAATGCCGAAATCTAAGACTAGCCCAGGGAAATTTTGAATAAATTTTCACACCTTCAGGGGTAATGGAAAATGTTTCCCTGAGCGGAGTAGCTTAGTCAAATATATGATTGGTAACAGCAATATATTGACAACAATTGCGATACAGATTTTATTTGAAAAATTCATTTTGTTCAATTATTTTTTTCCATGTTTACTTATAGCTATGTTTTGTTTTTAGTTTTTAATTTAAAATGGTATTTTTCCCCTTTTTTTATGCATGAGCTTCTTGTTCTTGTCCATCAACAATTTTTATATCGTTTCTTTTGTTGTAATTTTTAAAAACACATTTATTAACCTTGAGTTTGAAGCAAAACAAAATGTTTTACCTTAGCCCAGAGTATGTGAGCACGAAAGCGGTCAAAACACTAGTAACAGCAGCACAATATAAAACGCACTCATTTTTAATAAGTTAAATATAAAGATTTTTTTTAACAAATGTTTAGATAATTCACTTTATCTTAGTTTTTAGATTAGCTTATAATATCTGTATACTAACCAATGTGAAAAAAACTCTAGAAGCCGTAATAAGTTTTGTTATTTTATTTCAAGATATTATGACTCAATCTAACGTCAGACTTAAAAATAAAATATAGGTTTTAAACTGAGAAATCGAGTGGACATTTAATACCTTCCATGTTTTATTTTTTGAAAACTTTTTTTATTTATATTTTTAAGAAGTTAAAAACATGCTCTTTAAATACAATACAGTAAATTACTTTTATTTTGACTCCGACTGTAATTGAAGGCGGTGGTTTTTGTGCATTTATAATGCAAATATTTGCATTTGTTTCCGTGTCCATTTGGGTGTTTGCTTGGATCAGGACTGCATGGAGCACAATTTAAATATATATATATATATACACATATAATACGCATAACGGACAAAATTGTTTTTATAGAATTTATATGGCTTTTTTTGCAAATGTGCCGAGCAAACATTAAACGCAAAGATAGATATATAAATATCATAATAATAAAAATGGAAATAATAAGAGATGGGGCATATTTTCCATGGGCATCGTATAGTTTTCGAATTGATTTCACAAGTGGTGGCCAAACAACTCCCGAAAGTGGGCGTTACGGTTCGAGTTTATTGAAAAGAGAGAGAAAGAGGTAGGAGATAGAGAAATAAGCAGAAAGAGAGAGCAACAAGCGGAGTGTCCGCCCACGCAACAAGGTAATCAAATGCAATTGAAAAACCAGCGCAAAAAGTTTATCCTTTGGCTTGCCTTGAACACAAGCGTTCCCGGTTCTCCTTCCGCAGCCGGTCCACCCCATTTCTTCTATTTTTTTTTGCCCGGTCCACCCCGTTTTACCCGTTCCCGCTTCACAACCGTTCCCCTCGATTTTTCACCCGGTTGCCATTGCAACGAATTTAATCAAAAGTTACAATTCCAATTGTCCGCAAGCGGGTCACTCGTGTTGCGTATTAAAAAAGTTCAACTGCGGTGAGACAGAGACGGCTGCTGTCCGTAGAGTGAGACGGACATAGATACACTCAGGCAAAATTTATGGATTAACCTAAGAAATTACCTACTAAAAGTTTATTTATTTCAGATTCTAGTATTGAACACAATGTTTACGAGAATTAATCGTTAAAGTATTTACCTTACGTCAGGAAATAATTTCCAAAGAATATTAAAATAAAAACAAAACATTTTTAAGTACAAAACATGTCTAGTGTATTTAGCTAACTAAATGTTTTCGGTTTCAAAAATAAAATAACTAACTTTTCTCCAAGTGTGCTGTGTAAGAGATGGGGCGATAGATATAGTCGGCGTTTCATATCCGTGTTCTATGTAGGCCAAAAACAAAAAGGGCGTAAAGAAGCAGCAGGAA